TTTAAAATGATGAGATTATACTATGTTTTAAAACCGAATTTTGCATGACATAAAAAACTAAAAAGTTTAATTATGATAAAAGATTTAAGTATGAAAATTTATTCTTGATAAATTAATTAAAAAATGAAAAACAATATGATCATTATTTTAATTAAATGAGTTTAATGAATTAAATTAGTCTATTATTAAAAAAAGATTTTAATGACATATAATGCCAAATAGGAGATAGTGATGTTTTTGAACTGTCAAGTCTATTTGAAAGAAAATAGTGATAGTTTGATGACATTTTGGTTCTAAATAAAACATTAAAAGTAAAATATTTTACAGTTAAATTTTTTTTAGGACTAACTAAAAAAAAGTAAAGCATATAAACACCAAATAGAAGAAGTAACAATTTAACTTAAAAATATTTTTTTTCTCATAATAAAAACCACATTAATATCTATCATTTATTTGTTTTACTACAAACTATTAAACTATTTTTAAAAAAAATTACATGTCAAATCAAACTAAATAATAAAATAAACGAAAGAGAGTGCAGTGTGCAGCCAGCCAGAGTGAATGACTTAATTTAAAGTGATGTTTCCTAAAATGGAATAGCGTCCCACACTTGTAATGGCTGAGGTTGATAGTGTTTGCTTATTTTAAGGTTAAATATCTGATAGAATATGTACCCTTTGGCCCTACTTTATTATTTTAATATGGAATACTAACAAAATATCTTCACACTAAATCCTCTTTATTTCTTCAAAATATGATACATATTTATTTTTCTGACACAAACTTTGATGGAAGTTCGTTTATTGCACTCCATTTGGGAAGTAATATTTCATCAAAAATTATTGGTGGCATATTTAATATAATTTGAGCTGAGAATTATAATCTTTAATTTTGATAAATAAATATATAAATTAATATAAATTAAAGAGAAAAGGATATATTTTTAAACTTTCGAAAAAGGTTCATTTATGTTATCAATTAAAAGTTTAGTTCATTTATGCTATTATTGTTAAAGAAAAAGCTCATTCATGCCATTATTTTTTAATAGTGATTTTGCAAAACCATTTTTGACACGTGACCAATTATAATTCGGCCACATCATTAATTTTTTTAATTATAAAATCATAATTATGAAAAAAAAAGATTGAACTTTTATTTTTTGTTTTTTTTTAATTAAACAAATTGATGAAATTGGCCACATCATCAATTTTTTAAATAAAAAAACACAATTCATAAAAATTGAATTTTTCTTTTGATATTTTTCATTGAAAAAATTGATGAAGTGACCGAATTATAATTGGTCACGCGTTAAAAATGATTTTGCAAAACCATTGTTAAAATATAATGGCATGAATGAGTATTCTCTTTAACAGTAATAACATAAATGAGCCAAAATTTTAACTGATTGTATAAATGAACCTTTTTTGAAAGTTCAATAACATATTTGAGCCTTTTCCCTAAATTAAATAAATAAATACATTCGTCCTACACAACTTTATTAATTATAGAAAGGAAAAGTAGTAGTAATTGATATTATTTTAAAATGGTAAACTTGTATTATATGAAAGCTAAATAATATAAAATCATTAAAGTATTGACTTATAAAAAAGTAAAATAGGATTAATTAGATGGGAAAGATAAATGATATCCAACTTAAGAAGTTTGATATCACTATAATAATGTCACGTATCATGTGAAAAGAGAGGTGATTAATATTTTGATTCACATTGTTTTGTGAGAACGTCATGTTTTACTTGGTCATGTATTATAATCTTTCTAAATTGATCATATTATTTTAAAGAAAGCTTAGAATATTATAATAATAAGAAGAAGACAAGAAGTATAAGATAGAAAAGAGAACTTTTCTTATTCAAGTGTGTCTTTCAAATGGTGAGTGATTCTCAGATGTGCATTCATAAAAACAAACTGTCCCAATAATTTAGTGTTCAGATTCAGAGACAATATTTTAATATTCAGATGTTTATTCAGATTTACACATCTAGATCTTAATGCACATCTTAATATTTAAATGCTTATTCAAATTCAGACGTCTTAATCTTAATAGAAACAAATGAGACCGTAATGTCACTACTTGTTAATCAAATTCACAAATAAAATTATATTTATAATATTTAGGAAAAATGCACAAGTACCCCCTAGACTATGACTGAAATCCCAAAGACACACCTTACTAAGGTCGTACTATCCCCTGATTTGTGTATCTCCTTGGCTTACGTGGCATCCAAATATCTCCGACGCGCCTCAATTGCGTGGAGTCACATAGAGTGCCACATAAGACAAAAGGTGTATAAAATTACAAAAATAAAGTTCAGGGGGTAATATGACCTTAGTTTAGTTAAGGTGTGTCTCTGGGATTTTGGTCACAGTCTAGGGGGTACTTGTGCATTTTCCTTGATATTTATTAAATTTTTTTCAACTAAAAGTATAAATATCTAAATACAAATATTAACCTAATTGTTTTGATTTTGGACTCTTTTTATTTTTAAATTTTAATATTATATTATATTTTTTAATTACTTTTTATTAGCCCACAGGTCGACCCTATCGATATTTCTCAAGCCCCCCAAATGAGCAGACTTATTCAGGCTGGACTAAAAAACCCTTTTCTTAAATGGGCTTCAAAAATCTTAGCTCAGCCCTATTAAATCCCGAATTAGGCCAGGTCGGCCCAACGAGCCTAACCATATTGACGGTTCTAATTAGCAGCTGAAATATGCGATTTTGTAATCCTTGGAAGATTAGTAAAAGCATCTGGCAGCTGATTCGCAATATTCTGTAAATAAATTATTCTTTGAACTTCTTACTCACATTGATTTGTTCGAAGATCCAGATGAGATAGAGATGATAAATTTCAATCTATCTCTTTTCCCAACTGCTTATGTTCTCTTCCTAATGTTGGGGTATGCTGATTCATCAAAATGACAATCAACAAATCTTGTCTTAAATAAATCTCCAGTCATAGGCTCCAAATATTTTATGATTGAAGGAGATTCATACCCAACATATATCTCCAACCTTCTTTGGGACCCCATCTTTGTGCGTTGTGGTGGAGCAATTGGGACATACACCGCACATTCGGAAATGCTAAGATGGAAAATGTTTAGCTCTTGATCAAACGTCAATTGTAATGAGAAGAATTCATGATAATTCGTCAGCCTTATGCGCACAAGTGTTGCTGCATGCAAAATAGCATTCCCCCACATAGACACAGGCAACTTTGTTCTTATTAGCAATGACCTAGCTATCAATTGCAGACGTTTAATCAATCATTCTGCTAGACCGTTCTAAGTATGAACATGCACAACTGGATTTTCAATTGTTATACCAGTAAATATATAATAATCATTAAATGCGTAAACTCACCAGCATTATCTAGAAGGATTGTCTTTATTGTATAGTCTGAAAATTGTGCTTTCAATCTTATTATTTGAGCCAACAATCTCGCAAAAGTCATGTTGCGAGTTGATAATAAGCACACATATGATAATCTTGCAGAAGCATATATCAAGTCGATATACTATTTAAAGGGTCCACATGCAGGTTGAATTGGTCCACATATATCACCCTGTATACGTTCCAGAAACGCAGGTGATTCAATTCCAACCTTAACTGTTGATGGTTTAATGATCAACTTTCCTTGAGAACAAGCATCACAAGAGAATTCCTTTGATTGAAAGGATATTTGCGCTCTTTAAGGTGTTCTCATATGAATTCTCAATGATTTTGCGCATCATATTAAATTCGGGATGGCCCAACCGGTCATGTCAAATGATAAAATCATTAAAATTAGTAAACCTTTTGTTTACTACGGCCTGTGATTCAACTATACTTATACTTGTATAGTACAACCCAGAAAAAAATGCAGGTAATTTTTCATGCACGATTTTCTTCTCTACATTAATTGTAGTAATGTAAAGATATTCAATATTTCCTTCATTAGCCGTCTTAACATGATAGTCATTTCGGCGAATAACTTTGAAACTTAATTAGTTTCTTTGAGACTTATTACAATATAATGCATTATCAATGTCTAATATCGTCCCTCCAGGTAGTTATACGGTTGCTCTTCCAAAGCCCTCAATTAATTTTGTATACTATCTGATATTGCGTTGACATATGCCATTTTCATAACTAAATTAGAAAAGTATTTCTTTTCTTTTAATATTGTATGCGTTATAGCCCTATCAAGAAGGCATACATCTCCATTACTCATCTTGAATCCAATTGACAATTGGAGATTTCTATTAATTTTCATTAAAATAAAAATACATTAAAAAAAGTACGAAAAAAAACTAACAACGGAAATTTAGATACTTCAACATCAAGAACATAATAACTAAAAAGTACATAAGTAAAATATTAACAGACTTCATTCCCCATCCAAAAGATCAAACATCAGTTTCGATTTCCAAAAAAAATCATCAACCTTCATATGAGTAATGTCACCAAGACCATAAAAAACATCATCCTTTAAAGTCAAATTTGCTTAAATATGTGACTCATCTATAAGAGTCATATTTCTCAGAATGTTCCCGGCTTATCATCATCTTTAAGAGTCATATGTGACTCAACTTTAGCATTGGAAGAGGAAGCACCACTTTTATTTTATTTTTTTAAAGGAATTTTGGTAGAGCTTAACAAAATGCTCATGTGTGCGACATTCATTCTTCTAATGATCTTTCACGTCACAACGATGGCAATTACTTTTTGAGGGGTTATTTTGAGAACTCATGTTGTTCTCCCTTTTATTTATGACTACCACCTCGACGATTGGTGTATCACCTCTTTTCTTTGTTATGTCCCCATGTATTATCGTAGCCCCGATGATCATCTCTTTTTACTTCAGATTGTTCACGTGCTTCCACCACATTTGCTTTCGGTAGTGGAGCAGTTCCAGTGGGATGAGTTTCATGATTTTTAATTAAAAGAACATTATGTTGCTCAGCCACCAAGAGACGTGAGATCAATTAAGAGTATTTCTAAAAATCCTTTTCACGATATTGTTGCTGCAATATCACATTTGAGGCATTGAAAGTAGTAAGTGTCTTTTCCAACATGTCCTTAATTTTTATAATCTCCCCACATAGTTTCAATTCGGAGGTTATCTTGAATACAACAGAGTTGTATTCAGTTACGCTCTTAAAATCTTGAATCAATAAATGCATCCACTCATAGCGAGCTCTTCGCAACATTGTTGCCTTTAGGTGGTCATATCTCCCCTTTAAATCAGTCCACAATTCAAGTGGATCTTTTACCGTCAGATATTCAATCTTCAGGTCCTCATCAAGATGATGACGAAGAAAAACCATAGCCTTCGCCTTATCTTGGCTCGATGCTTCATTTTTCTGAGTAATGGTGGCATGAAGACCTTTAGCAGCTAAGTGAATCTCAGCATCGAGTATCCATGAGAGATAATTCTTTCCAGAATTATTTAGTGCCACAAACTCAAGTTTGGATAAATTCATAATAAAATTATGAGAGAATATGTGAATTAAATAAAAAATATTTATATTATATCTTTGCAAGTAGAAACTTCGTGCTGATAACGTATTATAAAGAAAGTTCGAAATATTATAATAATAAGAAGACAAGAAGTATAAGATAGAGGAGAAAACTTTTCTTATTCAAGTTTGTCTTCTAAATGGTGAGTGATTCTTTATTTATAATGTTGAGATATCACTCCAAAAGGCGTCTAATTAATAGATACATAATTATCTTGGAAGTTCTTATCACCTTGGAAGACCTATACATGAATCCAATTAATAATAGATAAATCTAATAGATAATCCACATATACTATATAATGAATTTATAACACACATTATTATATTTATATTTATGCGTTTTTTTCCATAGTACATTCCTAATATTGATCAAGTGAATTCGAAACCTAGAAACCTGTGATTCGATGCAATCGACGTGATGATCTTCTAGCAGATATGCTAATTAGTGCTTAAAAATTAGAAAATTTATTTAAATATAAAAAAGAAATACTATTTTATATTGGGAAAAAAATTGAAATATATTTAAATTCTAATCAAAATTATTGTGATAATATCAAACTTTAAAAATGACCTTTTACCATCACGCACTATTTAATATTGTATTTTAAAAGTATATATGTATCACGTGAACATTATAAAAATTACATAATTATAATTTAAGAGCTCTTTCATAGTTTTTAGTCTACTGCCTCCGGTCCTCCACCATGTTGAATTTATTGATTTATGCATATGTAATTATGTTATATAATTTAAGTAAATATTAGTATAAATTTTTCTTTTCTATTTATTAAATATTATCTTAATTTTTACCATTCATTTTTTCACTAACTTATGTGATATCCTAAATTAATAGTAAAACAAAATAAAGATCTTCACATATTCGAAAAAAAAATAAAGGTCTTCACATAGTGAAATAATTAACTAAATTATTTGACAAGTTCATTTGGATATTCAGGTATTAATTTGACATGTTCATAGTTAAATTGTTTAAAAGATTTAACTAATAATTATCGTGTTAAATAGTCTATATAAAATAGGATGGACGACAAAATGACTCCCGTCTAACCAACCAAAAAACATTATAGTTTCATAAACCTTACCTACTAAAAAAACTAAATATTATTCATAATCGTCACTAAGACCTAGTCACCTAGCCTGTTTAAGAATGTCGTTATATGACACATTAAATTAGTATGGTATATACAAAAATGTCAATTTTATTTTTTGTTATTTTGGTTAATTTTTTTCTTTTTATCCATGACTTAGTTTTCGGAACCTGTTTGAGCCGGAAAGAGATAAAATAACTAAAAATAAGCAATAGTGTTAGAATGTAATTAAAATTGACTTAGGATATGTTTGGTACGAAGGAAAATATTTTTCTGAAAAACAAACAAATTTTTTATTTATTTTTTCATGCTTGGTTAGTGAGTACAAAATATTGTTTGATTTATGAACGAAAAACGTTTTTGAGAAAATATCTTTTATTTTTACTAGAAATATAAATAATTTTTTGAAATTGAAAGCATTTTTTTAAAAATAAAATTAATTTTTTCGGGGGGGGGGGGGGG